AACCCAAAGAGCCAAAGACATATACACACCGGCTCCGCCCGCCCACCATCCACAAGAACAAACAACCGCTCCCACCGCCCATCCCATCACCCCGCTCCCTCACTCAACCCCCTTCTGTGCAGAGTGGGAGCAGCATCATGGTGGAGGTGGCCACGGGGCCCTCGGACTCAGCTACCCGTGAGAAGGTGCGTGCTCTGACCGAAGGGCCTCAGGTTGCCATGGGCCAAGGTGTTGCGCGGAGAGGGATAGGGCTCGAGGCGTCCCACGGCCGGATGAGGGTCCTGGAGGACATTGTCCTCTTCCCGTCTTTGCAGCTGCCCATGGTCCTGAAGGTGCCCAGGCTGAACTCCTCGCCTCTGGCTCTGTGTGACCGGCCCTTCTCCCTCCTGGGTTTCGGAGACATTTTGGTGCCAGGTACTGAGGCGGGTGGGGCACGGTTCGTGCTGTGGGGCAAGGCCCTGGGTGACTGAGGTTTGCCCTTGGGAGTGAGCGGCCTGCGCACCGTTGGCTGCAGATAAAGCCCTGAGGGTCAGGGTCGGGCAGGTTGGGGCCGTCGAGGCCTGTTTGCCTGGGCAGCGAGGGCATTGTCCGGGTGGGGTAGGGACTGCTTTGGGTCCTAGGGAGCAGGGAAGGCTTCCCGATGGCAGACAGCCTCACCCCATCCTGCTCAGGGTTGCGCAGGGGTCCTTGCTGGGGCCTGAGTCCCAGTGAGCTCATGTTGCTCTGAAGGCAGAGACTGTATCCTCTCAGCCTCAGTGTCCCCAGGGTCCTGTCAGGTGTGTCTGCCTGGGCTTTGCTCTCACTGTGATCTCAGTTTACCCACAGAGTCATGGCAGCCCTGTCCTGAGCAAGCGTGTGGCCTGTCTGTGAAATGACAGCAGCCACTGGGCAGCGAGAGGCCCACGGCGCCCACAAGTGCTCAGGCGCCCGCCTGCTCCCAGGGAGCGCCCACTCCGAGGCTCTGTGGGCCCAGGTGAGCCTCCTCTGTGTGCCTTCCCCAGGGCTGCTGGTGGCCTACTGCCACAGGTTCGACATCCAGGTACAGTCCTCCAGAGTATACTTCGTGGCCTGCACCATCGGTAAGTGCCTCGGTTGAGCCCATGCTGGCCACTCCGGCTCCAGCCCCCCCCGACTCAGCCTCTGTCCTGACCCTGACCCCAACCCCAACCCTAACTCCAACTCTAACACCATAACCATGACACCCTAATCCTAAACCGTAACACCCTAACCCTAACCCCCGGCCGCTCTGGGAGCTGGGCTCGGGTGGCTGGGCCTGTGCCTGGGCCTGTGCCTGCATCCCCCTCTTTCTCATTCTCCCTGGCTTCCATTGTTCTGTTCTGTTCTTTTCCTTTTCTTTCCTGTTTTCCTCCTTTTGTCTTTTTCTTCTTTGCTTTGTCTTCTACTGTTTCGGTTGTTATGAAAGTGTTTATACAAAGTGCCGTTTTCTGTTGACCGACATTGTTTTAAGAAATGTCCCCCCACCACAGCCGGCCCTAAGCAGCTGTGGTGCTTTCTGGTTCACGGGCACGAGGGTGAGCCACCTCTGCCGAGCCACGCCCTCGACCCAGCCCTCCACGTGGCTCCCTAACGTCCACTCCCAGGGCCAGGAGAGCTCAGGCTGGCCTGCAGTGCCCTTTGGTTGGTGGTGGTCCCCGCACCCCTGCTTCCTGCAGCTGCAGGTGACCCTGGCTTTCCCCTCGCCCCATTTTACCGTCTTCATGATTATCCTTTAAAATCACGGCTGAGGCCGGGCCCAGGGGCTCATGTCTGTGATCCCAGCACTCTGGGAGGCTGAGGTGGGGGGATTGCTTGAGCCCAGGAGTTCAAGACCAGCCTGGGCAACATAGTAAGACCCTGTGTCTGCAGAAGAATACAAAAATTAGCCAGGCATGGTGACATGTGCCTGTAGCCCCAGCTCCTCGGGAGGCTGAGGTGGGAGGATCACTTGAGCCTGGGAGTTCAAGGCTGCAGTGAGTCGTGATCGGGCCACTGCACTCCAGCCTGGGCAACAGAGTGAGACCCTGTCTTGAAAAAATAATAATAAAATGAAAGAAAAAATAAAAACACAGCAGCAGAGATTTCTCTCTCCTGAAGCATAATTTGTCAAGTTGTGCCTGTAATTCCTGAGATCGAAGCCACTGAGATTTTATAGGCGCCAGACCTCTCCGTTTGTCTCTGCGTCTGTCGATGATGGCTGATGGACAGGTGGATGGTCTAAAATGGACCAATAGGGACACTCCCTGTGGCATGGTGTCAGAAATAAAGAGATGAGTGTTAGAAAAAGTGCCAGGAGCAGTGTGCTTGCTGGACACAGCGGCTCTTTTAAGAATGTTCTAGTAAAAAGTTAATTTTCTCAGAGCTTTATTTTGAAATTTTAAATGACAGTTGCAGGGTTGGTACAGAGAACTCCTGTGTGCCCCGTTCTCAGAGGGACTGGTCATTTCCTCACATTCGCTTGATTCCGTTCTCTCTCTCTCTCTCCACACACTCACGCGCTCTCCCATGTACTCCACTTGGCCCTCCCTAGCCATGGGTTCCGCAGCTGTGGATTCCACCAGCTGTGGGTTGAAAATATTTGGGGAGAAGAAATTGCATCTGTACTGAACATACCCGGATTTTTTGGGCCGGTATTCCCTAAGCAGTGCCGTGGGACAGCCACCGCCCGCAGTGACGTTGTGTTTGTATTTGTAGGAACCTATAGGGATTTATGGTTCGGCAGGACGTGTGTGGGTTCTAGGCAGACACTGCACCAGTTTACGTCAGGGACGTGAGCAAGGGGGGTCCTGGCAGCCCTCCCCTGCGGGTGCCAAGGGTGGCCATGTGCACGTTTGTGTACTTACACACATATGTAAATCACAGGCTGTGTTCTCAGGGGACTGGGGCACCGCGCTGGTGGGGGACACTGTGCCCCTTGACCCCAGACCTTTCACCGGGTGTCTCCTGAGAACATACTTGATGCGCCCCCAGCTCGGTGTCCAAGGGTTTTCTGGTCAGGCACAGGTTCACCTTCGGCTGATTTTCTCGTTAGAGGTTCATAGAAACTGCATCCTGGACATGTCTTGCAGCCCCGTCCGCTATCACGTCTGCCTCCCGCTGTCCTGCAGCTGCCCGAAGCCTGTCCCTGCCTGTCCCTCTCCTTGCCCTGCCCCTTCCATGTCCTCGGTGACCCTGATGCCCCTCACTGGCCCCGCTGGGGCAGGGTGGGAGTGCGGCCCAGGAGGTGCCGGAAGAATCCATGTACTTCGAGGAACCTGTGGCCCTGCTGGCTGAACCCCCGCTCTACCTCTCCCGCCCTTGCACACACCTGCCCTCCACCGCGCCCAGCCCGCTCGCATTCTTCCCAGGGAAGTGGCTGGTGGCCCCTGCCTGCCTGGCTGAGGTGATGCCTCCTCTGTCCCCACAGCCTATGGCGTTGGCCTCCTGGTGACGTTCGTGGCGTTGGCCCTGATGCAGCGTGGCCAGCCTGCTCTCCTCTACCTGGTGCCCTGCACGCTGGTGACAAGCTGCGCCGTGGCACTCTGGCGCCGGGAGCTGGGCGTGTTCTGGACGGGCAGCGGCTTTGCGGTGAATACCCGTTTGCTCTGACTGTGAGAAATAGTCGCCTAGTGAGCCGTAACTAGAGTTCAAGTTGAGTGAGGCCTCCAGCCACAGCAGCCCCGCGGCCGCGACGGGGTCAGGGTCCCGGCAGCGTCTGCTTTGGGTGTCGTGTGCGTGTGGCGCCGGTGGACGGACATGCTGGGTGGGACCCGGGGGTGCCCTGTCCTTGCTAAAGTTGCTTCCCCCAAAACGGTCACTGGTGCCCCACTTGTGTGGGCATTGGGCATCCGTCGTCTCTCCTGCTGAGCGCGAGGCGCCCGACTGGGAGTGGGGCCGCAGAGCCCTGTGCGAGGGGAGCAGGCTGTGGAAGCCCTGTCCCCTGTCCCCTGTCCCCCTCGGCGAGGCAGGGGGCGGCTGGCGAGGGTTAACCGTGCGCGTTGCAGGGAGGGCTTAACGCCACGTCCGTTCTGCTTTTGTGATTTTTTGTAAACGAGAAGTGGGTGGGACCCCCCTTCCAATGGGCTGTGGGGCGCTTAACCAAGAGGGGTGACTTCCTGGGTTCCCGAGACTCAGGCACATTGCGCCCGAGAGCTGCCCCCACCCCTCCGGGCAGTGCCTCTCGGAGGCCATGACCACCCAGGGAGCAGCCCCACGCCGCAGGGCGATCCTCAGGCTGTTGGGCATCGGTGCAGCTCCTGCCATAGGCGGCCTCCCTCTGCGGGTGATGCCGCGCTTCTCAGTGGTGCCCGCCGCGTGTGGCGGTCCTGCATCATGTTTTTGTGGAAGTTAAACCACACCCATCCTGCCGCACTGGTGTGATGCATTGGGTCGAGCTGTGGTTCCAGGGCCAAGCAGGGCTCATGGGTCCCACAGATGGGACCATGGCCTGAGACCAGGCCCGAGGGAGAGGTCTCCTGGGGCCAGCACCCCCACCCCAAAGGTTTCCCCATTCTGATGGGTATTTCAGAAAGTTCAGGAGAAGCCGAGGACCAGGCCCCAGGGCCGAGAGACGGAGAGTCTGGGCTTCTCTTTGGAGGGGCTTTGCACAGCTCCCAGCCTCTGCTGGCCTTGGGTTCCCCTCCTGCGGCCCCTGTGCAGATAGATGGGGTCCTGGGTGGCCGTGGGCCATGGAGCCGGCCCCCTCCTTGGGACACCTCTGCTTGTCCCAAGCCTGGGTCCAGAGCCCCTGGGGATGGCGCCGCATTTTAACCCTGCCCCCGTGGCCTGCGGGTGCTGGGTGTCGTGGCCCCTACCAGGGCCCTCTTCTGGGTCCCTGTCTTCTCACCTCTGCCTCTCTTCTCCTGTAGAAAGTCCTACCTCCATCTCCGTGGGCCCCAGCGCCAGCCGACAGCCCGCAGCCTCCCAAAGACTCGGCCACACCGCTGTCCCCGCAGCCACCCGGCAAAGAACCAGCCACGCCTCCCCAGCCTGCTGAGCAGCCCCCCGAACCGTGTGTGCCCGAGGAGATGGGGGCTGGAGCCCCTACGCGGGAGCCTGGGAGTCCGGCTGAACCCGAGGGCCGGGACCAGGCCCAGCCGTGCCCGGTAGCCCAGCCTGGTGCCTTGGCCTAGGGGAGGGGTGAGACGCTCGCTGCCGTGCCCGCCATACCAAGATGTTGGGGCTGCCTGGCGCCCGCTGGAGACAGACGGACAGATGCCTGTCCCCGGCACTGAGGCCTGTGCTGTCCCCACCCGCCCCAACATGGTGCTCATCCTTGCCGAGACCCCCGTGGTCCGTGCCCGCGCCCAGCCCAGCTGCACGCCTGCTGCTCCAAGCTCGCCCGGCTGCCACAAGCCCTCTGCGGGTCCGTCCTCCTCCCCACTGGAGTCCGTCCTCGCAGGCCCTGCCCGGCCTCTCTGCAGACCCTCAAGCGCCGTCTGCATGAGTGAGCAGGCGTGGGTGGACTCTGGCCGCAGACACACTTGGTGCTCACCGGCCGCTTCGTCCTTCAGGTGACCTTCCTCCCCACGGCATCCTGTTCTCGGGCGGAGGAGCAGCTTTGTCTCCCAGAAGGCATCGCTTTTCCCTCTCGAGCAGATCGGAGCCCCTGGGAGGTTTGGAAGCCACCTCCAAGCCTAGGACACGGCCTGGTGTCCGGGGCGGCATCTGGACCCTGACGCTGGCTGAGACAGGCCTGTGGGGCAGGGTTTCGGGGCGTGAACGAGGCTGGCAGTGAGTGGACAAGCCGTTCCCCTGGCTCAGGCCCCGCCCTGCCCTCAGCCGGAGGCACCTGGCCGTGCCTGCACACTCCTCCCCGTTTTAATAAACAGTCGCAACTTCTAGAAGTCCTGCTGGTGCCACCTGGTGGGGTGGACATCTCAGACTGCCCTTCTCACAAGCAGGAGTAGGCGCCAGGCAGGCTGGGTCAGGCCCTCGGGGGTCCCTGGGGCCCTGGGAGGGAGGGACTGGGCTTCGGGAGGTCCTGGCTGCTCCTGGCACCCAACCTCACTCCCCGCGCGGGCCCTGTGTTGCTTTTCCGCCGAGAGGGGCTTGGGCCTGGGTTCTCCCTGTGGCAGCGGCATTGGTGCGTGGTTCTTAACCCTCTGGACCCAGCATCTAGGAGCTTCTGGAACCCATGAGGACATCTGCCACTGGCGTGGTCTACTCACTGATGAGGTTCTCCTGACTCCGGGGCAGAGACGTCCATGCAGGAACTGACTGAGGCGTGGCCCCAGGCCCTGGCATCCTCCCCTCGCTGCACGTGGTCACTTCTGAAGCAGCGCTCCCTGTGGCCGCAGCGACAGAGCCTGCACCCTGGCTGTCTGCGGCGCCAGGGCCCCAGCTCCCGCCTGCCACCCACCCTGTCCACACAGCCTCCAGACTTGAGTCCAGAATCTGTTTCTGTCAAGTCAGTCACCCCCAGCTGCACACGGGGACTGCTGAGCGCTGCGCTCTCACGGGTCTGTTCCCGTCAGAGGGTGGCAGGGGTGAGCCCCGATCCCTTCCAGAAAATACCAGCTTCCCAGGGAGTAATGGCACCTTCACTGAAGCCATTTTGTACATGGGCACAGGGTGGGGACCTCTCTTTTTTGGTGTTGGACGTTGGACCAGTGGGGAGGGGTTCAGAGGCGGCGGTCCTGTCCTTGACTCCGTCTGTCGGTGTGGCCTTGCTGCCGTTCAGTCTGATCATTAAACACAGCTTTTGATACACGTGGCCCGGCCTCTGCCTCTGCAGTGCGTGGCTTGGAACATCTGCTCCGTGCAGGTCCCGGTGAACAGAACTGAGAGCTGGCAGGCCGCCTGGCTGTCCTGCAGAGGACGGATGGGAATGGCCACCGCAGGGCCGGCCAGTGCTGTGAGGTGCCCAGTGTCCCTCCCGTGGGCTCTGCGGGCCGCGTGGTCCCCGTCACGCGTCTCAGCTCTGCCACTGTTGCTGGAAAGCATCACAGATCATGTGTAAAATGGGCCAAAATGCTTTTTAAAAAATAAAATAGAGATGGGGTCTTGCACTGTTGCTGAGGCTCGTCTCGAACTGCTGGGCTCAGGTGAACCTCCCGCCTCGGCCTCCCAAAGCGCTGCAGTGACAGGCGTGAGCCACCACGCCTGGTCCCCAGATGGTTTTGTTGCCAGACCCTGTAACTGGAATTGTATAGCATTTTCACATCTCAAAATAGTTTATTATTTTTTTTCTCTCTTTAAAAATGCAAAGAGCTGTCTTAGCCGCTTCGGGGCAAGGTTTGGTTTCCAGCTGCTGCTCGCTGGCCCCGGGCCTGTGGAAATGTGGGTGATGGATACGGGTTTGTGTGTGGGCCGAGGAGCTAGTGAGCCCTGAGCATCTGCCCGGCATCAGGGACTGTGTGTGTGTTGTTCTAGTCTCACCAAATTCTCCACTACATTAGAGAAAGTGAGTCCCAGGCTGGGCACCGTGGCTCACGCCTGTCACCCCAGCACTTCGGGAGGCTGAGGCTGGAGGACTGCTTGAGCCTAGGAGTTTAAGACCAGCCTGGGCAACGTAGCAAGACCCCGTCTCTACAAAAATTACCTGGGTATGGTGGCACACACCGGTGGTCCCAGCTGTTCTGGAGGCTGAGGCACGAGGACTGCTCAAATCCAGGAGGTCAAGGCTGCAGTGAGCTGTGATCACACCACCGCACTCCAGCCTGGGCGACAGAGCGAGACCCTGTCTCAAAAAAAAAAAAAAAAAAAAAAAAAAAAAAAAAAAAAAAAAAAAAAAAAAAAAAAAAAAAAAAAAAAAAAAAAAACCCAGCAAGCCTCTGAGACTGCGTGACTGTAAGGGATCAGAGACGTGGATTCCTGCAGGCCCTGAGCCAAGCCACGACTGCCTGGCAGTGTGACGCCCTTGGCCTTAATGTGAAACAGGGTAAGGACGCAGCAGGAGATGGAGGCTCAGGCCTTACCACTCACAGCAAAGCTGAATTCAAACCCACTGGGGACGGGACGGCTTAATCACGGAAAGCGAATTCCAGAATACTTGAAGTCACAAGTATGTTTCGGTTTTTTGACCTGAGCAGTTCATCGATGCACTCCAGAAGGAGCACCCCGGATGGCCTTTCCACAGGGGAAGTCACTGCTCAGAGACCACCTAGCAATGGCTCTGAACACTCCTCCCCTGCGTGCCTCTAGTGGTGATTCGTCCTGTCCAGGAAAAGAAAAACTCGCTATGTCATTAGCTCCGGTGGACTTGAGCCCCAGGGCTGAAGGTTACAGTCGGGACTCAGTGCCTGGAGCCCTGGGCTGACACCACCTCCACCTGTGACCGCCTGCGGTCGTGGGCAAGTCCCTCCGCCTCCAACTCCCTGTCGTCTGGAAAGTGGGTTAGTGATGCACCCACTGCAAGGCACGGTGGCCGGAATGCCACCAAATCAGCCGTCTGGTTGGACGCTTAGAAGCAGTCGTGACTTTTGTGTTAGTGACACACTTGGTTCAGGAAGACAGAGAGCTCCTGCCAGGCTCAGCAGGTGTCCAAGCCCGGGGGTGTGTACACACCCTGACTGTCCGGGTCACACACCCCGGGATGTCGGGTAGAGCTGGGGAAATGGAAACAGCCTGCTCCTTGGCACTGGGGGGGATATTTTGTTTCTTTTCGGGGGGAGCACACCTCTGTCTTGCAGTTTAAGTTACAAAGTGGAACAATATGGTAACAATAGTGATCTTCTTTCACTAAGCTGACCAGAGCTTACAAATTTTTTATCCACCCACCTATCCATCCACTTATCCAACCAGCCATCTACCCATCCATACATCCATCCACCCACCCACCCATTTATCTAACAATCTATCCATCCATCCGCCCACCCACCCATTTATCTAACCATCCACCCATCCATCCATCCACCCACCCATCCATTTATCTAACCATCCATCCACCCCCCACCCATCCATTTATCTAACCATCCATCCATCCACCCACCCATTTATCTAACCATCCATCCATCCACCCACCCACCCATTTATCTAACCATCCATCCATCCATCCATCCATCCATTTATCTAACCATCCATCCATCCATCCATCCACCTACCCATTTATCTAACCATCCATCCACCCCCCCACCCATCCATTTATCTAACCATCCATCCATCCACCCACCCATTTATCTAACCATCCATCCACCTACCCACCCACCCATTTATCTAACCATCCATCCATCCATCCATCCACCCACCCATCCATTTATCTAACCATCCATCCATCCACCCACCCACCCATTTATCTAACCATCCATCCATCCATCCACCCACCCACCCATCCATTTATCTAACCATCCATCCATCCACCCACCCACCCATTTATCTAACCATCCATCCATCCATCCATCCACCTACCCACCCATTTATCTAACCATCCACCCATCCATCCATCCACCTACCCACCCACCCATTTATCTAACCATCCATCCATCCATCCACCCCCCACCCATCCATTTATCTAACCATCCATCCATCCACCCACCCACCCATTTATCTAACCATCCATCCATCCATCCAGCCACCCACCCATTTATCCAACCATCTGTCTACACACCTGTCCACTTATGTATCCATCTGTTCATCCACACACCCACCCATTCACCCACCTATCTGTTCAGTTATCCATCCATCCACATACCCTCCATCCACCCATTTATCTAACCATCTATACACACACCCATCCACCCATTTATCCATCCATCCATCTACCCATTCACCTGTCCACCCACTCATCCATTTATCTACCCGTCCATCCACTCATCATCCACCCATCCATTTATCCAACATCCATCCACACACACACACCCATCCATCCATCTTTCCATCCACACACCTATACATTTATCCAACCATCCATCCACCTATTCACCTGCCCACCAATCCATCCATCCACCTGCCCATCCACTCATCCATTTACCCATCCATCTACCCATTATTTACCCCCCCACCATCCATCTGCCCACCCACCCATCCATCCATTTGCCCATCCATTCACCCATCCATCCACCCATCCACTCATCCATTTACCCATCTACCCACCTACTCACCTACCCATCCATCTATCCATCCATTCATCCACCCACTCACCCACCCATCCACACACACACCCATCTATCCACTCATTTACCCTCCGTCCGTCTGTCCATCCATCCATCCATCCTTCCCTCCCTCCATCACTGAACCACCCATCCACTCATTCACCCACCAGTCATCACTGCCGTGTGCCAGGTCCTCTACTAAGCACCCCCTCTGGTCCAGGCAGAGAGCTGCTATAGCTGCACAAGGAACCAGGACTCAAGTGTTTGGGGCCAGGTGGGAAGTCATCAGAAGGTGAGAGGGTGGAATTCTGGAAAGAGTCCACCAATGGCCCTGAGAAATAGAGGAGGGGGTTCCCGTGGGGTCACAGACTCTTCACACAGCTCAGAGCAGGTTAGAAATGCCTCTTGGGAACCAGCCACAGCCCGCCGCCCAACAGGAGGGTGGGCAGGAGAATGCAGCAATGGGAGGTCCTGGATGTGGAGCCCCAGCTTGCATCCCAGGAGCTGGATGACTGGCTCTCAGGGCTGTAGCCACCTCTTCTGCCTAAAAGGAGGTGACAACTACTTTTGTGAGGCCATCATGAGAACCTAGTGGAGTCCCTGCTGAGTGCCAGGCACACAGCACATACTCAATAGACTGGATCATTCTGCAGGCGGCTGGGGAAATGGGGACCCAGGAGGTGGATCCTCCAGGATTGCTCTCCCTCCATAACCGGGCTTGGCTCCCCAGGGCTTGCAGCACTTCTCAAAAGCAAATCACCACTTAAGGCACAAAGACGTTGCTGCCAATGGTAATAAAATGGGGCTGGTCGCTCAAGGCAGTTCCAAAAAAAAAAGTCCCCAAAGTATCTTGACATAAGAGATGAGACGGTGGTTCTAACGAAGTGCACCGTCTCCTTCGACGGCATGGAGGAATGTGAACAACTTCATGACTAAGCAGGAGAGGCAGGCAGCGGGTGGCACAGTCAAAACCGAGGCCACCCAGTCTGACCATGAGGGAGAGAAACACCAGACAAACCCACTTGAGAAGTGTCCTGCCAAACACCTGACCTCCTTCCCCAGGAGCGTGCAGGGGTCAGAAACCGGAACGTGACCTCCTTCCCCGGGAGCGTGACCTCCTTCCGCAGGAGCGTGCAGGGGTCAGAAACCGGAACGTGACCTCCTTCCCCGGGAACGTGACCTCCTTCCGCAGGAGCGTGCAGGGGTCAGAAACCGGAACGTGACCTCCTTCCCCGGGAGCGTGACCTCCTTCCGCAGGAACGTGACCTCCTTCCGCAGGAGCGTGCAGGGGTCAGAAACGGGAACGTGACCTCCTTCCCCGGGAGCGTGCAGGGGTCAGAAACGGGAACGTGACCTCCTTCCCCGGGAGCGCGGTCAGAAACGGGAACGTGACCTCCTTCCCCGGGAGCGCGCAGGGGGGTCAGAAACGGGAACGTGACCTCCTTCCCCGGGAGCGTGCAGGGGTCAGAAACGGGAACGTGACCTCCTTCCCCGGGAGCACGTAGGGGGTCAGAAACGGGAACGTGACCTCCTTCCCCGGGAGCGTGCAGGGGTCAGAAACGGGAACGTGACCTCCTTCCCCGGGAGCGCGTAGGGGGTCAGAAACGGGAACGTGACCTCCTTCCCCGGGAGCGTGAAGGGGGTCGGAAACGGGAACGTGACCTCTTTCCCCGGGAGCGTGCAG